AGGTCAATCTGTCCAGTAGTTGAGACATTTCAGTCTAGGCCAAAGTTGTTGTTGACTGACAGTGCCATGCACAGATGTACCCATAGCACAGAGGTGTGCTGCAGTAACCGTTCATCTTCCTGTCAGAGGATATATTTTACATCAGCTGACTGCAATGCATTGTTGTGCAAGCAGGAAGGAAATGTGTGTTTTGGTAGTGCACACCAATAGACACATGTTTGACTTTTAAGACTATATGAATATGAAGTGATTAAGGGAAAAAAAATGAAAATTTGAATCTACAGTTGCATGACACAGCGCAAATTCCATCATGGTTTTGGATGGTTTTGCCAACTGTGCTAAACTAATGTAGTGATATGGCATGTGCAGATGTGTTGTGGTGCTTGTACACAGGTATACAGGTATTCCCTCCTCTGTGCTGGGAGATTAACCTTACACCTAATTAAAAGCTCCAGTGCATTTAGCAGATTACAGGCAATTATGTCACAACATTTCATGCACAGTTATCTGCAGCATTTACTACAAACAGGAGGCTTTTTTTTTGCCTGACGTTACTCTTTAGGACAGTGCCTCCCTCCAGCCAACATGCAACATATACCCTAATAAATCAACACCAATACTAGGCTGAAGGACAAAGTGAGAACAAATGTTTCTGGTCCTGACCTTCCATAACCTGTGCACTGAACAGGGAAAACCACCTGACATCCAGTACCAATTAGGATCTGGAAGGAGAAGCCAAAGATGACAATATGCCACAGCACCATGGGTGGAGCATGTTGATCAGTGATGGATGAGTCATTTACATCCTGAAAGTTGAACTGCAGTACAAAGTATTATTTTAGAAGTAGAAGTGATTCATTTCAAATGTTATTGAAATGTACCTGAGGTATAAACCCACAATTCAGATAACTAGCCACTGACACTGTTATGCAGAATTATATTGACTTAATACAACTAATGGATAGCAGTGTTTTTACTGCTGTAGTTGAGTTGGAGCTAGTTCAAACAATTGGACGAAGCCTCATTTTATCAGTTCATTTGTTTTGTATGTCAACAAACCTGTGAGGAAAATTGTAAATGAAGCTCTTAAAGAAAAGTATAGTGGAGTATAGCATGATATAGGTATCTGAACTGAAGTCTGAAGTTGGCCAAACTGGAAACATACAATAAGTACAATACGTTTTAATTTACTGTATACTTAAGTACACTATATAAGATGGTGTAGTCTTTTTTCACATTACTTTCAAATTTAAAAGTTATGTACTGTAGTTATGAGTGACACCACTGTGCATGTCCTCCGAATCCTGTCAGTAAGAGTATGCATCTTTAAAACTTCAAAGGTTCAGGCATTTTGAGAGAATTAGTTTTTAAAATGGTAAGTAATGAAGGGCCCAATGCTTTCTTGAATGTCATTCAAAAGTAAGTTTGTGTGTGTGTGTGTGTGTGTGGGTGCGCGTGTTTTTTTTTTTTTTTTTTCTTGGCAGGGATAGAGTATTTTATTAAATACAAATGTAAATTTCTTCAGTGGAGTTTGGTCTGTGTGGAGTTTTGTCTTGCTGCAGGTGTCTGTGGTGGGCGTTATCAGAGAATTTTCTCCCTGTACAGCCAACATCCGGTACTCTGTGGACGACATGACTGGTCCACCTTTAAATGTGAAGCAGTGGGTTACTTCAGAGGCCAGTGGCATCACCTTCTCTGTTTAGAACTACAGCTGTAAAATGCATAGAACTGCAGGATGTACTACTGTGGTGAATAATCTGTTTCAATTTTCATACAGGACTGTGCTCAGATAACATTTGTTTCTCCTGGGACGTACGTGAAGGTCACAGGAAGCCTACACAACTTCCATGTGAGTATTACCAACACAAGGTTTAAAGATCATGGGCTTTAAAGGGGCGTGAGCAATGCTCATCTATGTGACTGTGATTATGTATGACAGATTAAATTTTTATTTTGCATTAGGGTCAAAGGTCATTGTTGGCAATGAATATCCGTTTTATCGAGGACCTGAATGAGCTGACATCCCACATGTTGGAAGTGGTCCAGGCCCATATGCAGATTTTTGGAAAGGTACTAGAGTTGGGCCAGTGTTAGAAATTCTAATCTAATAAATCTTTTGACAAGTTATTTACTTGGATATTAGGAACATATTCAGCATTTTAACTATAGACTTGCTTAATGATCATAACACGCCTTCATGTTGTTGATGCAGATGGTTGATGTGAACATGAATACCACTGTTGCCTCACTGTCTGGAAGGTGGGCTGATGGACACCCTAAAGGCATCTTAGCAAATGGTTTGTCCACCACGCAGAAACAGGTTAGTGGATTTAAGGGGTCAGGTCACACAAACCCCAAATACATTTTGCTATTTGTCCACAGCAAACTTCCAGCAATGGTCTGAAAGTCTTGTATGTGGAAAGGTTACTGATGCATGGTGTCAAATGAAATGGCAACGCCCTATACACACTGTACATAGGGGGACTGAAAACAATTAGAAATAACAACTTGGATAATTTAAAACATTTTAAATCATTTAGTGAGCAAAAACGCCAAACATTTGCTACTTGCAGCTGATTTAGCTGTTGTCACTGTAAATACAGAAATTTCCCCACTGTGGGATCAATAAAGTACCTACTGACTAGAATGTCTTGGGGATCTGGTCTGTCAGTTATGTTCGTCATTCGGACAAAACCAGTTTGGGGAAGATGTCACACTGGGCTCTGGAAGTGTCATTTGCCTTTTTTAAAACCCTCATGCCCTCTTCAGGGACTTTTTTTGATTTGGCGATTATTTTCGCTGTGTTACAGCTTGTGGCGTGAAATTTGGCAGGAAAGTTTCTTTTTAGTTGTATTTTTGAAATCTAGTGTTTACACTTAAATGTCATTTATACTCTTTATACATTTTGTACCCTCTTGACGCTTTCGTGGCAAAAATGTACATGAACAAAAATATGAATATTTTTCATATTTCAATATTTTTTCTGCTTTTTTCATAAATCTCTTAAACTTCAGACCTGCTCAAAACTACCAAACATTCAATCCTTCTCAGGATTTTAAACCTTTAAATGCCAATTTATGATTTGAATGATGAAATATTTATTACAAAAAAAACACCAAAAATGAGTTATTTTCCATATAATAAATGGATGGGGTTTTAGTGGTGAGCAGAGTCTTGGATATGTCAAAGATTAGCAACAAAATTGATTTGACTGCTTTAGTATTTTTTATGTAGAATTATTTATAACACAAAAAAACACACCAAAAATGAATTATTTTCCATAAAATAAATAGGAGAATGGGGTTTTGGTGGTGAGTAGAGTCTTGGATATGTCAAAGATTAGAAGCAAAATTGATTTGATTGCTTTAGTATTTTTTATGTAGTGCCAGATACTTCGTCCTGACACATTCATGGCCAAAAATGCCCCATTGAAGCCACATTTTTCTGACAGAATGCTCACTGGAGTCCTTCACTTCCGTGAATGCCTCTGACCCTTCCTCAGTGTCAGACTCCCCTCCCCTGTCATCTCCAGGTAGCTCACTGGCAGGTAAAGGCTTCATTGCCATTTCTAAAACCTCTTCTGCACTGAAATGTCTCCATTTTTGCTACCTCTCTTTGCTCCAGGTCCTTCGCCTTCTTTGCTAATGAAATGATTCCTCACCCAAGCTGCATGTTTATCTTTGGCTGTGAAGGCAGTCAGGTGCATATACACACTAACAGTTGTTATTCATTTTGTTTTTCAGTACAGCAAAGGCAGGAGGCTATGTTTTTACTCAAGAACTTCAAAGACACATTGAACAATCCCTCAAAACATGCCCTTTTTTCAACCTTGAAATTATCCGTTCATGCTTACAGATTCACACACACTCACTCACCCACACAACTCTTGGGGCCCCCTGGTAGTCACACGGCTCCATTATATGGCAGAAATACAACAATTTCATGTATTGGCCTACAGTGGGAAAAGGTTGACTCTGGTGAAATATGGTAAAAATATCATATCACTACTTTTCTTCAAAATGAAATGCTGACATTACAGAATGCATGGTTTTATAGTTTTATACTGTAATGGGAGTGAGATTAAAAAATGTGGTTTCAATGGAAGTCAATGGGGCATTTTTGGCCACGAATGTGTCAGGAGGGAATATCTGTAATTACATAAAAAATACTCAAATCAATTTTGCTTCTAATTTTTTGACATATCCAAGACTCTACTCACCACCAAAACCCCATCCTCCTATTTATTTTATGGAAAATAATTCATTTTTGGTCTGGTTTTTTGTGTTATAAATAATTCCTAATTTAAATTAATAACTGGCATTTGAAGGGTTAAAATCCTTAGAATGAATATTTGGTAGTTTGGGTAGTTTTGAGCAAGTTTAAGATATTTATGAAAACAAGCAAATTGATATATGAAAAATTAATCATATTTTTGCACATGTACATTTTTGCCACAAATGTGTCAAGAGCATAGTACATTTAAGGAGGGTACAAGGGTTAAACAACTTTATTTACATGTTGATATACTGGATAGTTAATACTGGTTGGAAAGTAATTTCTCGATTCCTGTCTAAGGTGCTGCATGTTATCCGGAAGTTCTCTCTCCGTGATATTGGCATTAGTTTCGATGACCTGAAGCTACAACTATACAACCTTAGAATGACAGACGTCAGGTACCTGCTAATTATACCTTGTGTTCTGTACATATACCCACATGTGTATGAACACTACCATTCAAAGGTGTGGACATACTTTCAACTCAATGCAATAGTGTTAAACTTTGACTGACAGCGTATGTATTATGGATGTGCTAAAAGTTCAGTCCATGCTAATGCTGTAGCATAAAGTTTAAGCTGGGTGATAAAGGACCAACAGCCACGTTAACTCAGGAATAAATGTGATGAAAACCTAAAGGATTTTTTGCAACTGTCATGGGAGGATTATAGAAATATACAGTGTCTGCTAGGTGTTACAGATGGATAATGCACTCTTAAATGACTATACTGTCGAACTAACTTGTGTGCAGAAGTTGGCACCCTTGGGTTTAATAATTCCAGCAATAAATTGTGCTTTGTCATTCCCCACTGGGGGTGGGGGTGGGGTGACATTTTCTTGATTTAATTTTATTATTGGCCTTTATTACATGGACTGAAGGGATGTCACATATTCCAACAATGCTTAGGCAAAGGCAGATCAACTAAAACTGAAGTAAACCTACTTACAGTAGTCCAAAATCAGAACAAAGCTCGAGCAGCTCATTTACAGTGTTTTACCATCACATATATTTTTTGAGCATGAGTTGATTCCTTTGACAACATACACTAGTAGGTAATGTAATGAAGTTATTGATGTGATAGTACAAATTGCTAAGTGATGCACACCTGCTTGGTTTTGTAGAATTAGTGAGAAGTACCTGCTAGTTCAAAAACATGGAATTATTGAGTTTGTATGAACTATTTCTACATAAAACTCAGCTCATT